AATTTTAAGTCCTCTAGTAACTTCAATACCACCACCAGCAGCCAACTATGTGCAAGATGAGGATGAAAATAATTCAATTTCTCTAAAAATGATACTTAATAAAACAAACCAAATAAATTTCATAATATAAACATTCTGAATCGATACAAGATAAAGGATAGGGAATTGCTCCTTGATGGGTTGCAAGAACCAAAGAGCAATGTCAAGGCCATTGTTGGCTCCATGAGCCAGCTCAGCAGGGAACCTCATGGTCCCAAAAGGACCTCCAGTTCTATTGCATACTTCAAATGTACACAACATAGTGCCATCTACAATCACAAACAAGACAAATTTCCAACATCATAAAGCTCAACACAAATCAACATAGTCAACTCAAAAGTAATATAATTCATCACATTGCACATACATGCATATGAAATATGTTCGTGCAAGTAGTAAAAATCATAAACTCAAATAAAATGCACAGCTATGAACTAGCTGGATTGGCAACCAGAGTTGGTGGTATTTTAAATCTATTTTTATCAAATGCTAGGTGAGCTCGTGGCTGGGCAAACCTAGACAATCAGTGAAGATCATGGGCATAATGTTCATTAACTCCACAATCGGAAGGTCATGAAGCCTTTCCTTCATCCTTTTATTTCTTTAATACTATCTAATGAAGGAAAAAATTGACATTAGTGCTCATCATGTCATTTCTTTGAGTACAACATAGATTAAGAAATCAACAAACATTATCCCAGATGTCTTAGAGAACGACAATGTGATCGCTCATTCACTTCATTCAGTTTACAAATAATGGATTTCTCAGAGGCGTCTAACAAATTTCGGCTATCTCCATTCTATAGAACTCGAGGAAAAAAAACTGATCAAGAAGTTAATATAGAGTATTGCAAACTAATAGTTCATAGTAGTGCAAACAAGAACTATTATCATATAAATATCATGCAATGCACCTAAATCGTGCATGTCTAAGTAAAAAACAGAGCTTCAAATCAGAGATATCCTTCTTTAATGTTTGAAAGCAGCATACCATTTAAAGTGTGGATGTTGCTGAGAAACTTGATCCAATAGCCTATTAGTTGGATTCTGACACTTCAACCTGCAAGCCAATGCAGAGAAAAGGCCAATGTTTATCTTAGCCTAAAGGAAAATGTTGATTTGACATATAAAAAACAAATCTCAACCCCACATCTCATTAAATATTGTAAAAGGACAATGCCTTTGCTAACTCTTCCTGCTTCTTCTTCACTTTCTCCTCATTTCTTCATATTGAAATCTTGACCGATTACTTTTATAATTGCTTCTTCATGCATATTTTTAATGTGCCATACTCATTGTGACAAGTTCTAAAAGCTATATAAAACGGATGAAAATAAAATTTAGCAACATGAAAAGGAATACCTCTGATTTCTTAGCCGCTTTCTCATGAGCAACTTCCAGTTTCAGTTTCGTTATTAGCATAATGTAGAATGCCATAATGTTATTTTGTTTGAAAGCAGTATTCAATTTTTTAATATCTAATTAATTCAGAGTCTCAAGCACTTGGCTAAGAACATGAGAACCTTGATATTCTTAGTTAATGTTGCATACAACATCATTGTTTATCTTGTAAAATAAAGTTTACCTCGTAAAATAAAGTTTAACACAAAATAAAAAACATCATCTACAAAAATAAATTAATAGCAGCCTATTTTTCATTTTGGGAATTATGGCATAACCTAAAAACTGGCTACAGGTGAAGTGTTCCAACCAACTCGAAAACAATGATCTACTGCAAGATCAACAACAGAACAGAAACACGCAACAAAACATAATGATAATTTTGAATCCATAACATTCAATCGAATTTGAACCTTAATTTTACAGTAGATCTAAGATATTCCCTTACAACCTAATAAATAAATTGACAGCAACCCAATAAATGAATAAATAGCAACCGAACATACCAATTTGCATTTCACAATATTCCCCTACAAATCGATAACAATCCAACAAATAAAAATAATAAAAACAATACCTCTAAGCTATCTCTGGCACTAACTTGGGTTGTTAGGCTAGTGGGCTCGACGGCTAATGGCTGATTGAAGTGGTGGGATGGTAATTTGGTGGCGGGATGGAGCGGAGTAGGGTAGGAAAAAAAAGCGAAGGGGGAAGAAGAGAGGAATGTGATGAAGAAAGAAAACGTGGGGAAGATTAGGGGAAAAAAGGGAAAGGAAAGTAAAAAAAATGTGGAATAAAGAATAAAATGGAAAAAAAAAATCATGCTAATTATAAGCCTACAAATCAAACAAATATTTTTGTTGCCAAAAGATATATCTTGCCCATCAAATATTTTTGTTAGCACAAGTCTCTCACAATTAAAAATTTTGAAGTAGATCTTAGCCGCACAAAACACTTTTTTTTTTTTTTTGTAGAAAAAAGTAAAATCCACCCACAAATCTCAATTTGTCTCCCAAAATTTTGAAGGGAATGTATAAATTTCTTGTAGTGGGTAAATGTTGCTGAAGAGCTGTGGCAACATTTTTGTTCGATGCAAATAGTAATTTTCTTTTAACAATTTTTTTCTTCATCTATAAAATTTTTAACAACAAATATTCCTTGTCGCAAAAAGTAAAATCTATTGCATCACCAATGCTTTGTTGCAAAAAAATAAAAGCTTGTTGCTATAGGTTTCCCACCAAAAAATATTTTGGCGCTACTTCTGTCATGTTTTTGGCGACGGTCTTTATTGTTTGTTGCGACTTCTCACATTTCACGACAACTTTAATGTCGTCTTATATTTTTTAATAATTATTTTTTTCACCACAATCTTAGCGACAAACTTTAAAAATGTGTCGCGCTAAATCACTTATTGCAACAACTTTTCGCAAGTCGCAAAAAAACTTGTAAAATCACAATTTTGTTGTAGTGTCAGCTCCATGGCCACCGATCAGTTTTATACATGATGGCAGTGGCGGACAAGGTATACCTCTTTCTTGATTTTTGATTAATTTTGTAAAGGTTTTAATGACTTACTTGATTTTTAATTTTTGAAAAACATGTGAAGTCCAAGCTGGACAAACTCATAGAGGCGAAAGATCAGGCCTTTAACCTTTACAATAGCATGGAGGCTGAAAAAGCCCAGCTCGCTCAGAGGGAGAAGGAGTACGAAGAGAAGCTGAACCGGATGGGGTTCGAGCTGAACTCCAGACTCGATGTCGAGGAGAGGTTGATGGAGGAGATCAAGGCATTGAGGGCATCGGAGGAAGAGGCCAGAGCTCGGGCAGAAGAGGAGCGCGATAAAGTTAGAGAGGTCATCCAGAAAATACAAGAGGCCAACAAAAGGGCGAGGCAGGCCATAAAAAGGGCCTAAGAGGCTGAGGCCAATATTGATAGAGCGATGGAGGCCTGGAAGGAGTCCCCCGAATTTGACATCGTGGCCCAGGATGTCTACGTGGTAACCCTGGAGGAGTTGGTGGGGCACATCAGGAAGGAGAAGCCTGATCTCGATGTGGCCTTTCTGGATGAGGCACTGAAGGGGCAGAAGGAGGAGTTGCGGAGGTTGTCGGAGTCTGGGCTTCCAGGCGGCCGTTTGCAGTGTTGATAGTCTTATTTTTAGTGGTGGTATCCGCTGCGTCAAGTAAGCCTCATAAAAAGATATTCATAGTGTAGGGGTGGGATAGATCTTTAATTACAATTCATTTTATAATAGTATTGACTTCTGTGATTAGCAGGGAGGCATAAAGATGGAGTAAAAGTTGGTAATATTCAGCACCTGGTACTCTCTCTCTCTCTCTCTGAACATAAACATACATATCTATGAATGTATTTTTGTGTGTTGGTGTTGGTGTGGGTGTGATCTTGGAAGTGAGAAACTCCCAGAGCACTTTTTATAGACGGGATTAGACAATTCGATTCATTTCTTTTTCTTCAATGATATTGTATATTTCTATCCAATATTTTTTTAGAAAAGTTTTATATTGAAATTTTGAGATCAGAATGAGCTTAAATTTAAATCCCACCTTCCATTTGTAAATTTAGCTTAGACAACCAAGTCCCTTTTTTATTTTTTTTCCCCTCTACAATGAGAACACCTCTAAAAAAAACTTTTCTATTTTTCAAAAGCATATTTTACAGTTGAGGGAGCATATATAAATTTAAAGAGTAAAAATTTTTAAGTACTCCAATAGACTACATATTTATCACTTATTATTTTTTCCTATCCTTTATTTTCACTAATTTTCCTCCAAATTATTATATTATTTTCTTTCATTGAAAATTGAACTATTTTTTAATGTATTTAATTATAGAAAGTGAGTTGCGCTCATTAAATTTGGAGAGCTAAACTCACTCTTTAAATTAAAAAGTTGATTTAAAGAATTTTTTAAAACATAATTTTAAGGATTGACTCTTTAAAATAGAGAGCAATTTACGTTTAAAAAACCTATTAAAAATGCCAATTAGGGTGTATACCATATCAATATGTGTCGAAAAAAAGTGTCTAAATTTATTTTCCTTGAAATTTGTGTAGGATATTGAGGGGTTAAGAGGTGATGGTGAAGCATTAGTTGTGGAAATTAAACTAGTGGAAAGAAGGATGAATGTGGTGCTTACAGATTATGAAGGAACAGGAGCAAACAACAACCATGATCCTATACCTCCTGGAAGATTTTAATTATTTATCTAGTTTTTTAATACGTATTCAGATGAACATTATCAAAATACATGACGACATAATCATGTGTTTGGCTATGTTTGTTTAATCGTTAATCTTTGGCTGTTTCTTTCTACATCTGTAAACGTTAATCACATAATTTGTCCGATCCAGGCGTGCACTTTTTGTGTGGAGATTATTTGATGATTATATTTACATCTGTAAATGTCTAGTATTCAACTTTGTTTTTTGTTCTATCATGTCTTTGATAACGATTTTAGTCCAAAATATTTACTAAAGTGCTTTAAAATAAGTGGTATATATTTTGTCGTACTTTTGTATTTAGATATTGAGGCATTATTTACAAATTGCTTAGGTACAATTTATAAATTGATTTATAAATTCGGTTGAAGTCAAACAAAAATTTCGACTACACATTTTTAACTATTAGGGTTGAACAAAGAAATTGCCAAACAAGAAATCAAAGCAAAAATGTTTTTTTTTTTTTTTTCAAAATCGTTAATTAGGAGGTGGAAGGGACTAATGTAGGACATATTGGGGGAAAACGTACTAGTAGATAGAGAACATCTTAATTTTGGATTGAGCCGATAACACTATTTCGAATAGAGAACAACTAGAGAAACAATACTCACCAGTATGCCGTGACGTACGATGAATTTCGGCCATTCGAGTTTGTTTAGGGCTCAAAATTTGATTTTTAAAGTTTTGACCCTATTTTTGTCAATTCGTTTATTTTGGGCTTTTTTTGCAATTTTAGTTTATTTAAACTTTGTTTTCATTGCTTTTAATTATTTTAAACTACGTTTTCATGTAAACCCTTATAAATAAGGGGTTATTATTATTTTTTTTCCCATCATCATTCATCAATAAAATTCATGAAATTTATTTTCTCTTAATTTGGTAGATTCCAAATTTCGTAATCTCAAGGTTTTCGCTTGAATTCCTTTTTCTCGTTGCGTCATGTATGATAATTCTAGAATATAAAGTATTGATAACTCCATGATTGACAAAATATTTCATTATCTGTTACGAAAAGTGTGGTTGATTTCATATCATAATTGACTTTTTTTGTAAGATATCATGACCAGCCTGCTACCTAAATGATCATAAGTTTCACATTAACATTGTTAATATCAAACGAACATCATGGGATAAACCTATAAAGTTATGCAAGTGGGAATTATTCATTGCATTATTTTATAAGTGGGAGCTCACCAGAAAAAGCAAACAAACTAGTTGACCTTTATTTTTTCGTTGCGGGACTTTCTAGTTGTTTGATCCAGTTTCATATGTTTCCCCATTCTAATCTTCTTCAGAAACTCTTTATCGTTTTGAAGAGAAAGAAAACTTTGTTTCTTTAAGTAGTGGTGTTCATGGCTTCCCGGCGGCCGTTTGCAGTGTTGATAGTCTTATTTTTAATGGTGGTATCCGCTGCATCAAGTAAGCCTCATAAAAACCTTGATATTCATAGTGTAGGTGTGAGATAGATCTTTAATTACAATTCATTTTATAATAGTATTGACTTCTGTGATTAGCAGGGAGGCATAAAGATGGAGTAAAAGTTGGTAATATTCAGCATCTGGTACTCTCTCTCTCTCTCTCTCTCTCTCTCTCTCTCTCTGAACATATACATACATATCTATGTATGTATTTTTGTGTGTCTAGGTGTTGGTGTGGGTGTGATGTTGGAAGTGAGAAACTCCCAGGGCACTTTTTATAGACGGGATTAGACAATTCGATTCATTTCTTTTTCTTCAGTGATATTGTATAGTTCTATCCAATATTTCTTAGAAAAGTTTTATATTGAAATTTTGAGATCAGAATGAGCTTAAATTTAAATACCACCTTCCATTTGCAAATTTAGCTCAGACAACCAAGTCCCTTTTTTATTTTTATTTTTCCCTTTAAAATGAGAACATCTCTAAAAAAAACTTTTTCTATTTTTCAAAAGCATATTTTACAGTTGAGGGAATAAAAATTTTTAAGAACTCTAATAGACTACATATTTATCACTTATTGTTTTTTCCTATCTTTTATTTTTACTAATTTTCCTCCAAATTATTATATTACTTTTTTTTATTGAAAATTGAAATACTTTTGAATGTATTTAATTATAGAGAGTGGGTTGCGCTTATCAAATTTGGAGAGCTAAACTCAATCTCTAAATTAAAACGTTAATTTAGAAAGTTTTTAGAACATGATTTTGAGGATTGATTTTTCAAAATAGAGAGCATTTTATTTTTAAAAAATTTATTCAAAATGCCATTTAAGGTGTATACCATATCAATATGAGTCGAAAAAAAGTGTCTAAATTTATTTTCCTTGAAATTTGTGTAGGATATTGAGGGGTTAAGAGGTGATGGTGAAGCATCAGTTGTGGAACTAAAACTAGTGGAAAGAAGGATGAATGTGGTGCTTACAGATTATGAAGGAACAGGAGCAAACAACAACCATGATCCTATACCTCCTGGAAAATTATAATTATTTATCTAGTTTTTTAATAAGTATTCAGATGAACATTATCAAAATACAAGATGACATAATCATGTGTTTGGCTATGTTTGTTTAATCCTTACTCTTGGATGTTTCTTTCTACATCTGTAAACGTTAATCACATAATTTGTCCGATCCAGGCGTGCACTTTTTGTGTGGAGATTGTTTGATGATTATATTTACATCTGTAAATGTCTAAGATTCAACTTTGTTTTTTTGTTCTATATCATGTCATTAAATACGATTTTCATCCAAAATATTTACTAACATGCTTTAAAATAAGTGGTATATATTCAGTTGTACTTTCGTATTTAGATATTGAGGCATTATTTACAAATTGTTTAGGTACAATTTATAAATTCAGTTGAAGTCAAACAAAAATTTTGACCACACATTTATAATTATTAGGGTTGAACAAAGAAATTGCCAAACAAGAAATCAAAGCAAAAATGTTTTTTCAAAATCGTTAATTTAATCTTCGTGAATATGTTAACGTTTTGATTTTGAATTGAGATAAACTACTTCAAATAATTATTGCAAACTGTTTAAAAAATTCTGAAATTAAGTACATTTAATTTTTTTCTAATCCAATTAATATTAAATACAAATTAAAAAGAGGCATTATTAGATCCAATCCAAATACACTGAATACAACCCTATTAGGCAATCATTCATTCCAATTATTAATTAACCATACCTAATTACCCAATTTTAACGGCTCAATTTTGAGGTCAGTTTACCTTCTCTCTCTCTCTCTCTCTCTCTCTCTCTCTCTCTCTCTCTCTACTTACTCGTCAACAAATCGATCATTATATTGGATGTAATGGTATTCCTCCATATTTGTTTGCATTATTGACATTCTTATAGTCATTAGGAATTGCATTAAAAAGAATAATTGCTTTGTATTCATCGAAAACCTTTTCACACAATTTGTAATATCTTGTACTTGTTTATTAAAAATGCCAGAATTGTCAACCAATTTTTTTAGTGGATGAATTTTGAAACTTTTAAGTAGGAAAAGTTGGTAGGACATGAATTGTCAAGTAAAGCTTTTCAAGCTTTTTCCAAAAATTTTCAGTTGAATCATGTTACCAACGTTTCACAAAATGGAATCAGATAAATGTAAGATAATAGAGATATAAGTAAGTTCATCAAACTCTTTTTTCTGATTTTCAGTCACAATTGTAGAAAAAAGTATTATCAATTGTTTTAGACACTTTTTATTGTGTTGAAATTTCTTTTATCTTTTGTTGCCAAATAGAAAAGTCACCCTTACCATTAAAGACATCCAAGTCTAAGTGATGCGTGAACATCGTAGCAAATAAGACACATGTGCGTAAACAATCTTCAAAGAGACAACAACACAAAATATGTCCTAATGGTCACAAATATACGCTAGTCTAAATTCTTAAGATTTCATGAGATTAGTGATCTTAGATCAATGGAATTTTCAAGTAAGATCAAGATAACAATTTTAGCCAATAATATCACAAATGATAATAGAACCACCAAATGATAATATCACAAATAATAAGCAAGAAATCCTAATATTTAACAACGGGAAATAATTACCCCCACTTTAATTCCCAATCCTATTAGCCACCCCACACGATAGCCTACTATTGTAGAAATTTAAATAGTATTAGCCAATTTAATAGAACGAACCTATTGGTGATCCGTACAAATGAAAGATGCGATTTTTATTAAGGATTCAAGTCCTTATTAGCTAGATCAGTAGCGGAATATCTCAAACAACATGCGTTCCAAATCACAGCAATTTTTAAAATTTGATTTCAATTTCACGCAAAGGCAACCGAACAGATCCACAGTCACAATCACAATCACATCAATCCAATCGCTCTGATACCAATATATTGTAAAATGATTCCTTCAGATAGAGATAATCAAACCTAAAGTTAGTTAGCTCTAAACTAAATAATGTAATTGAATTAAAAGATAGAAATCGCAAATAGATAAATTAATAAATAAATAAAATCCCACTTTCCTATCAAGAACCACATTCGAAACGAAATCAAAGATAGGATAATGGGGCTCAGATTCACCAACCCAAAGTCACAGGGTAACTCCACACATGATTGGACCTAGTAATCTTACTCAAATCACGAAGTAAATGCCCGTAGAAATACCAAGGATGGAGACAGAGAGCATCCGCATAAAGAGGTGAAAGTGAGAGAAATTGAGGTACAAAGGAGGTTAACGAGTTGCGACAGACGTCGACTATAGGAGGCAGAGAAGGCATGGTCACGAAGAGAGCAGAGAACCAAAGAAACTACAGAGGAAATCGTGTAGCCAAAGAGCCAAAAGAAACAACCGTGTTTTTCTATGTAATGTTGGGAATCTACTTATACATGCACAGCGGAATTTAAAATAATTTTCGATTCCCACCAAGAATTGCCTTTGCGTTTAAATAGAAATTGTGGTAAGATTGTACCTTTTCCAGATCTGCAATCTCTTTGCTTTTCTTTTTGTTCCATCAACCTTGATTTGCCACCACAGCTGTCCAATTGTCCACCTTCCAACGGTGATCCACACAGAGAATATGATTGTTGCCTCTAGGGTTTTCTCTTGTGCCAGCAAGAGTAATGAAACCCCTATAGACCTCAAACCCTAGTTATGTATTTATATAAACCCAAACAGGCTCGGCCCGGTCCGGTCCGGTCCAATAATTAATTAATCCAATTAATTAAACCCGGTCAGTGAATTAATTAATCCAATTAATT